TAGAAAAAAAACTAGAAAACAAAATTTCAGACATCATACGCAGCAGAATTTTCACTGATACATCACCTAAGGCAACAGAAACAAAGGAGAAAATGAACACATGGGACCACATCAAACTCAAATCTTTTGCACAGCCACAGATACAATCATCAAAATGGAAAGGCAACCCACTGTATGGGAGAGCATAATTACCAATGATATATCAGATAAGGGGTTAATTTCCAATATATATAGAGTGCTCACAAATCTCATCAAAAGGAAAACAAAGAACCTTGTTAAAAAATGGGCAGAGGAACTAAATAGACACCTCTCCAAACAGGACATACAAATGGCCAAGAGACATATGAAGAAATGCTCAACATCACTAATCATCAGAGAGATGCAAATTAAAACAACAATGAGCTATCACCTCACACCTGTCAGAATGGCCGCCATCAACAAATCATCAAACAAGTGTTGGCGAGGGTGTGGAGAAAAGGGGACTCTAGTATACTGCTGGTGGGAATGCAGACTGGTGCAGCCACTATGAAAAACAGTATGGTGTTGCCTTACAAAATTAAAAATTGAACTGCCAGTTGACCCAGTGATCCCACTTCTAGGAATATACCCTAAGAAGCCTGAAACACCAATCAGAAAGAATATATGCACCCCCATGTTCATAACAGCACTATTTACAATAGCTAACATCTGGAAACAACCCAAATGTCCATCAGTATACGAATGGATAAAAAAGCTGTTGTACATATACACAACGGAGTACCATGCAACTGTAAGAAAGAAAGATCTCTTATCCTTTGAGACATGGAGGGACCTGGAGAGTATTATCTTAAGCGAAACAAGCCAAGCAGAGAAAGACAAGTATCATATGATCTCACTTATTTGTGGAATATAATGAACATAACAGTCTGAGGAACGGGGTAGTCCCAGAGACATGGAAGTGGGGTACAGACTGACAATCCCCAGAAGAGGAGGTGGTGGGGGAGAGATAAACCACAAAACTTATATGCAGGTGTGCATGAACAATGGACATGGAGAACAAAGCTGGGGACAGGGCGAAGAGGGACGGGGAGGGAGGAACCTGTGGGAGAAAAAGAAGAAACATCTGTAACAAAAATAAGTTAATTAATTAATAAAAAAAAAGTCTCATTGAGTATAAATTTCCTCACTGTGTGGGAGCACAAGCAGCATTTTTCCCAAGATCTACTGAGGCTTGATTGACAAAAATTGTATATATTTAGGTGGTACAACATGTTTGTTTTTTAAGGTGCTCAATGAGATAATTTAATATATGTATACATTATGAAACAACTACCACAATCAAGTTAATTAACATATCCATTACTTCATAGAGTCAGCATTTTTTATTCTGGTGAGAACAATTAAAATTTATTATCTTAGCAAATATCAAGTATATAATAAAATATTGTTAAGTATAGCTGCCATTCTATAACTAGATCCCCAGAACTTATTTATAAGTGGAAGTGTTTACCATTTGACCAAAATCTCTTCATTTACTCAATCCCCAGACCTGGAAACTACTGTTCTACTCTGCTTCTAATGAGTTCAATGTTTTTAGATTCCACATATAAGAAAAGTTTGATGGTATGTGTCTTTCTGTGTCTGGCTTATTTCACTTAGCATAATACCCTCCAGGTTCACCCATGTTGTCACAAATGATTACATTGGAGTGGAGGAGGCAGAAGCCAAACTCTCCCATGAAGAACATGTGGACGGTGAAGCAAAGAAGTTACAACTCCTCCTTCAAGAAGTATAGCTCTGACATCAAAGTTACAACTAAACTACAGAACAACCATCATTCAAAACCGCCTGAAATCAAGCTGAATGGAAGTCCTACAACTACGGAATTAAAGCAGCAGCCACATCCAGACTGGTAGGAGGGGCGGCAGCGCGACGGGCTGGTCCCACGTGTGGCGGATAAAAATGAGGAGGCTCCCACGGCTGGGAAGGTCCTTCCTGAGGACTGAGGGGTCCCCGTCCCACACCAGGTGCCCCGCTCAGGGTTCCAGTGCCAGGAAGAGAATCCCCATAACTTCTGGCTGGAAAAACCAGCGGGAACTGAGGCTCAGGGAGGCTGAGGTGGCTGGAGCCCCAGGCAGCTCCTTAAAGGGCCCGCGCATGGACTTATCGGAATCACTCCCTCTAAGCTTGGAGGGGAGGCAGCTCGAGGGGCACCAGAGACATACAGGGAAGAACTGAGCTGTTTGGCACTGGAGCGAGGGCTGGAGAGGGGGCCTCCTGGGGACAAATGTGCTGTCAGAGGCCTTTGTTCCTTTGGTGAGCCCTTCCCCGGGGGCAGCAGACAGAAGCCATATCTGGGACTCCAGCGACTTGGCTCACACTGGTAGCCCCGCCCTGGTGACTCCCTGAGGCCCCGCCCCACCCCACCCAACTTTCAGGCCCACCCAAGCTGTTGCAACTTGCTTAACCATAGGATTGGCCTGTCTTGGATCCTGCTTCAGGTTTTTCTTAAGTTCTTTCAAACGAGCAGCATCTGGTCTCAGCGAGCCCCATACCTCTCATTAAGTAATACACTGAAACGAACACAGGGAGGCAGCCAAAATGAGGAGACAAAGAAACAGGTCCCAAAAGAAAGAACAGAACAAAACCCCAAGAAAAGAACTAAGCGAAAGGGAGGTAAGCAACCTAACAGATACTGAGTTCAAAGTAGTGCTTATAAGGATGCTCAATGAACTTAGTGAGAACCTCAGTGAACTTAGGGAGGGCCTCAAGAGCATTAAAAAGGACCATTTAGAAATCATGGATACACAGTTAGAATTGAAGGAGGCATTAACTGAAATAAAGAATAATTTACACAGCTCCAATAATAGAGTATGTAAATCCAAGGAGCAAACCATCGATTTGGAATATAAGGAATCAAAAAATGCCCAATCAGAACAGCAAAAAGACAAAAGAATCCAAAGAAATGAGGATAACGTAAGGAGCCTCTGGGACAACTTCAAGTGTGCCAACATTCACATCTTGGGGGTGCCAGAAGGAGAAGAGAGAGAACAAGAAATCGAAAACCTGTTTGAAACAATAATGGCAGAAAACTTTCCTAACTTGGTGAAGGAAACAGACATACAAGTCCAGGAAACACAGAGAGTCCCAAACAAGATGAACCCCAAGAGGCACACACCAAGACACATCATCATCAAAATGCAAAAGGTTCAAGACAAAGAGAGAATCTTAAAAGCAGCAAGAGAAAGGCAGCTAGTTACCTACAAGGGAGTTCCCATTAGGCTGTCAGCTGATTTCTCAAAAGAAACTTTGCAGGCCAGAAGGGAGTGGCAAGAAATATTCAGAGTGATGAAAACCAAGAATCTACAACCAAAATTACTCTATCCTGCAAAACTGTCATTTAGAATCGATGGACATATAAAAACTTTCCCAGACAAGAAAAAGTTAAAGGAGTTCATCACTGCCAGAATGTTATTATATGAAATGATGAAGGGTCTTTTTGAAGAAAAAGATAAAATATATGAACAAACAAAATGGCAATGAATACATATCTATCAACAATGGAATCTACAAACAAAATGAACAGGTAGAACAGAAACATTCTCATAGATACAAAGAACATTTTGTTGGTTGCCAGTTGGGAGGGGTTTGGGGGAATGGGTGAAAAAGGTGAAGGGATTAAGAAGCACAAATTCATTGCTAGACTGACAAAACTCAAAGGGAAAGGAGTTGGGGGGGTGGGAAGAAATAAACCAAAGAACTTATATGCATAACCAATGGACACAGACAATAGTGTGGGAAAAGGTGGGAGGGGGGAGGAGTGGGGAGGAGGGGGTCAGTGGGGGAAAAATGTGGAACATCTGTAATACATTTTACATCCAACAATAAAGATTTGAAAAAGGAAAAAAAAGAAAAAAAAAGAAGTATAACTCTGCAGGGAAGAAAAGAGGATGGTAGCAATGTCCAGGGAAGCATTTTTTCATAGCCCCTTTAGAATTTTCCTTGAACTTATCTCCAAAGATATTTCTCAGAAAGTCTGACAAGCACCTTCTGAGTGAAAGATTGCCTCATTTATAATTTATATTCAATACCACATATATGCTCCTCTTGAGCACTTCTTGAGACTGGAAAGGCTAAACTCAACATAGAAAAGAAAGAGCCAAATTCTTACCCCATAGAAACAGGAAACAATTTCTTTAGAGTAATTCAATTAGAAACAAGTAATATTTGATGCCTCCCTTAATTCTAGCTCCAGAACAACAATTATGAGTTCCAATATTTATTGATTGTTTACCATGTATTATATAATTGTCTAAGTGTATATATACAATTAATACTAAAAAATTCCATTAATTGGGCATTATTATATATGATAAAACTGAGGCACAGAGCGGTTAGGTTATTGGTGCACAATTCACATTATTAATGAGTAACAGAGCTGGGGCTTGAATCCAGGCAATCTAGTGTGTGCCACTAACCTCTCCTGTTATACGGCTGGAGGAGCAGAAAAGATCTTAGAAAAGATGCCTGCACCCTGTGTAGCTCAGGAACTTCAGATTAAGGTGAACAGAACTGGACAGACACACTGCTCTAAACTAGGTTTAACATAAATTAGCTTCATAAGTTGATTTAAATTCCCCTTGATATGTTAGCAAGCATTGATTGAGCAGCCCTATGCATTTAGCTCTGTTTTAGGCCTTGTGGTTGGGAAGACAAAAAGTTTGCTTGCAAAAAAGTCCTTCCTCAAATACTGGAAACTATTTGAGGGCATAAATATGTCTATTTTCCCTCCCCACTGACTCTCTACAACATAGTTCAATGACTGATATGTCATAGGCATTCAATGAATAATTGATGAATTAATGAATATCGTTTCTTCTCCAGATGTTTTCTATTCTAGAAAGAGAGCAAACAAGCCTGGTTGGGTTGAACTCAAGAATACATCTAGGGAAGTGTGTCCAAGATCGTGGCACAGGAGGACACTGAGATTGCCCCCTCCCAAGAACACAGTGAATGTATACCTTTATTTAGAACAATTCCTCTTCAGAGACAAGTGAGGGCCAATTGAACAGCTTCTGCACAAAAAGCAAGAGAGAGATTGCATAGAGAAGGCTGAAGAGAGCTCTCTGAGAGCTGAGGGAAGTCTAGTACCAGAGGAACCAGAGAGCACTATTGTTTCTATTTCTCTTGCACTTGGATATTAGGTAGGAGCTCTATCTAGGTTTTCTGTCTAATACCCAGCCACCCCTCCCAGAGTTAGCTCCAGCAAGAACATAAGGGTGCCATAGTATGTGCCCCTGTACCCAGAAATTGACCTAGTGGGTATAACAGGGCACTGCTCTGTCTACCCACTGGGTATGTGCATATAAGGCACTCCTCCACCTGGAAAGAGTGCAGAACCAGCAGGGCACTGTGGTGCCAGCACACAGGGCTGCCCTGTCAGAGAAAGTGAAGAACTAGTAGGGAGTTGCTATGCTCACATTGAACAGTTCTGCCCAGACCTGCTTGGGCAACAGGCAAAGCAACAGCTTAGGCCACACGCATACCAAGCAGCCCTGCCTGGATCAGAAGGGTAAGAAAATGTGCACACATCAGGCTGCTCTGCCCCAACTCCATTCTGGCTCTGGACAGCTGGAACAATGGAGAGCTAGTGTACACACACATGTACACAAGACTGCCCCTCTTGGAACCGGCTCCTTCTGGCTAGCCAGCACTTCAGACACTCTATGTGCTTGCCCTGACTTCAACTGGCATGCCAAAGCCATTTGGCACACATTCTACACAGAGGTCACTCCTACACAAAGCCACTTTTTCAAGATTGGTAAGAGAGCTATTTCATCTAACTCATAGGAATAAACACAGAAAGACAAACAAGTTTGGTTTAATAGTCAAAATTCAATTAATATGATGTACCATATAAAAAATGAAAGATAAAAATCAAATGATTATATCAATAAATGAAGAAAAAGTATCTGGCAGTATCTAGCATCCATTTATAATAAAAACTCTTAGAAAAATGGAAATAAATGGAACATCCCTCAACATAAGAAAAGCCACATATGACAAAACTATGGCTAACATCATACTCAGTGGTGTAAAACTAAACACATTTTCCTTAAGATAACATACAAGACAGGGACATCCACTTCCACCACTTTTATTGAACGTAGTCCCAGAAGTCCTAGCCACAGCAATCAGACAAGAAAAATAAATAAAAGGCATCCAAACTGGAAGAAGTAAAACTGTTATTATTTGCAGATGACATGATACTGTATATAAAGAGCCCTGAATATTAGGACAATACTGGGAAGAAGTGTGATACAATGGTTATGAAAGTGGGCATTGGAGTCAGACTGGTTTTGAGTCATAATAATGCCATCTATTAATGATGTTATTTTTGGCAAATAATCTGAGCCTGTTTTTTTTTTTTTAATATGTTTTCATTGATTTTTAGAGAGAAAGGGAGAGGGAGAGAGAGAGACAGAAAGAGAAACATTGATGAGAGAGAAGCATCCATCAGCTGTCTCCTGCATGCCCCGTACTGGGGACCGAGCCCACAACCCAGGTATGTGCCCTGACTAGGAATTGATTCTGAGACCTCTTGGTATGGGACCATGCTCAACCAACTAAACCACATCAGCCAGGACTCTGAGCCTGTTTCTAAGTCTGAATAATAGCCCTGGCCGGTTTGGCTCAGCAGTTAGAGCATCGGCCTTTGGACAAAAGAACCCTGGGTTCGATTCCAGCCAAGGGCACGTACCTCAGTTGCAGTTTGTCCTCGGTCCTGGTTGGGGTTGTGTGGGTGGCAACCAGTTGATGTGTCTCTCTCACATCGATGTTTCTCTCTCTCTCTCTCTCTCTCTCTCTCTCTCTCTCTCTCTCTCTCCCCCTCCTTCCCTCCCACTCTGAAGATAAATGTAAAAATATCCTCAGGTGAGGATTTAAAAAAAAATCTAACAATGGCATAAGAATTGTATCTAACTCCTAAGATTTTTGTGATGACTAAGTAAGTTAATAAATGAGATAATGCATGTAATATTAGCTCAGTGCCCAGTTCATAGTAAGAACTCAGTAAATGGTGGTTATTATTATGACTGTAAATTTACTGTGGAATTTTGGCTGGAGAAGAGGAGTTGACCTTTACTTCCAGGTTTGTTTATAGCTGAGGTTACTGGGTGCTTGGTGCTACCACATACTAGGTGGGGAATCCAGGAGTGGCAGTTTTGAGGGTGAAGGCAGGAATAACATGATGTTCTTGGTTTGTAATTATAAGTTGGTTTTCCAGAGAATAATCAACTGTCAAAATCAAGGTTTTGAGGGTTCAAATCTGAGGGACAGCCCTTGAACTGTCAAGGTTCCATCATTCTGACCTATTTATCATTAGATCCCCAATTTATATACACTGTCTAATTAAATGTTACATTCTAAATGGTGCAGTCTATTTAAACAGTACTATGAAATTCTTTCAAAATCAAAGCCGTTATTCTAAAGCCAATTCAGTTAGCCATTAGGATTCTGGCCTAATGGATATAATTGGTGAGAATGTGTATGAGATCAAAACAACAGCATGAAGCTACATTGTGGCATTTCCATACTGAGTTTCATTCATAAATTCCTTTGGGAGTGGCTATGGCAACATGGTTAAGATTCCTGACATGAGAGTGCATGGGTTCAAACCCTGGATCTACTAATTGTTAGTAGATGATCCTAATAATTTATCTAATCTTTGGGACTCAGTTTCCCCATCTGTAAATTGGGAGATAATATTACCTACCAATCTGTTGGGTTACACTTAGAGAGCAGGACTTGACACCTAGGAAGTGCTACATGAGTACTGGTCATTGCTATCAATATCATAGAGTATGGTCTAGTGGAAAAACAATTTCACCAGGAATTAGATTTATTTGGGTTTGAAATTATTGAGTACTTCAAAAGTTAGCTTGGCCATTTATCGTCCCTGACCCAGGCTAGCTTAGGTAGGTAATTTTCACACAGATATCCCTCTATCAGAAGACTCACCTATCATGCTACTCAGTCATTTTCTATTTACTTGTCTGAAAATCAGTAAAGACCATGACAGGTCTTATTTGTCTGGTTTACTGTTTAATCCTTACCTAGCAAATAACAGAGACTCAATAAATTATATATCGACTAAGTGTATACACATTCAGTTAACTCTCCTGGGTTGCATTGTGTGTAACATGGAATTATTAATCCCTTTAGGCATGGAACTAAACCCTATGATCTATCCACAACTGTTGTGATAAGACAAATTTTCAAGCACTATTCCTGGTCAATGGATACCAGGAAACACATGGGGAAATCATATGATTCTGATGCTATAAGAAAATAATAGCATCCAGTGCATTCACTTTAGGTCAAACTACAAGAGAATTCCTATTTTCCCAAAAAGTAAGCACAGCAAGTAAGCAGACACTTAAGAAATTTACCTAGGAAAGTGGTTCTCAAAGTTTGGTCTCCAAACCAACAGCATCACCTGGGAACCTGCATAAAATACATATTCTTGGGCCCCACCCGACACCTACTGAATCAGAATTATCTGGAAGTAGGATCCAGAAACTTGTGTTTTCACAAAACTTTTTGTTGATTTTGATGCATGCTCAAGTTTGAGAACCACTAACCAACATTATCCATGTGCCCTTAACCTATATTTTGTTTGAAACAGTTGTCATATTTGTTTATAGCTCAGGTCTGGGTATAAGTTTTCTCCTGGTCAGTTTCATTGTGACATATCTTAACCCAGCCCCTCATACCATAAATGCTCATAGGACAGAGGGGCACTGGATGAATGAATATAAAGAATAACATGATTCAGGTTCTTTAGTTTTCTTCTTCATTTGTCCCCTCATATATCACATTGTGCAATGATAATAATGTTAATAGCAGCTAACATGGAGTACCTGTGACATACAAATCACTGTTAGGTGTGTGTATGTATATAAATATTATCATAGGTGTGAAATAGGTGTTTTCATAGAAGAGGAAACCGAAGCTCACAGTTTATGCCTTGCTGATCACATTCTCTTCTCCATCTCAGAAACAACCACTATTCTGAATTTGGAGTTTATCATTCCTATGCATGCCTTTATATTTTATTATGTTATTTGTGTATCCCTAAAATACATATGACATTGTTTAACAAGTTCTTGGACTTCATGCAAATGATATCTTACTGTGTATAGTCTTCTGCAAGTTGATTTTTCCTCACTATTATGCATGTGAGATTTATCCATGTAGATGTGTGTAGCTTTAGTCCATTTCTTTTTTTATGGCTGTTTTGATTCCATTTTGTGAGTATATGACAATTTATCATTGTTGGTGGCTGTCTTTTTACATTTTGTTTTCTGCTGTAAAAAATGCTTAATATGTTCAAAACTAAACATGTTCTTCCTCCATTTTCCCCCAACTAAGAAAATAGCCAGACAAATCTCCCAGTTACTCAGGTTAAAAACCTGGTATCATCCTTGATGCTTCCCTTTTGCACCTCTACCTAACTTGTGAATGATTGTTCTATTCTAAAAGGACACAACAGTATGGTGATTACCAGAGGGAAAGGGGGGTGGGGGGAAAATGGTGATGGAAGGAGACTTGGGGTGGTGAACACACAATACAATATACAGATGATGTGTTGTAGAATTTTACACTTGAAACCTATATAATTTTATTAACCAATGTCACCCTCAATAAATGCAATTTAAAAAAAATAATTGATAGCTGCAAAAAACAACAACAAAAACAAACAAATCTCCAGAATTTGATTACATTTCCCCACCTCCACTACTACCAAGTCACCATTATTTCTTACCTGACCTATTGCAATCACCTCTAAACTGGGCACTCAGCTCCCACCATGCCTCTTTACAGTTTATTTTAAACATAACAACCAGAGTGACTCTATTAAAATATTAAACTATGTCACTCATACTGCTCATAACCTTTTAAAATTAAAAAATCTTTTTGTAAAAAATATTTTTTCTTTATTGATATTTTAGAGAGAGGAAAGGAGAGAGAGAGAGAGAAACATCAATGAGAGAACATCGATTGGCTGCCTCCT